GGAGAATATTCAGGGTCTAGAGACTGGCAAGTATAAAAGCATAAGGAATGGCCGGGGCCAAAGGATGGAGAAGGGAGACAAGCAGTCACACAAGAGGAATAAAAAATCGGCTGCTATGGTTTGGGCCATATAGCCCGTGAGGGGAGCAGGATATAAGAAGATCGAAAGGGAGCAACAGGCCAGGTTGTAAAGAGCTTCGAATGACAAACAAAAGACTTGATATTTGATCCTGGAGGCAAAATGGAACCACTGGAGTTCACTGTACAAGAGGGTGACATGGTCAGAAGTACACTTTAGAAAAAATCCCTTTGGCAGCTGAGTAGAGGGTGAATTGCAGAGAGGAGAGGCCTGAAGCAGAGAAATCACTTAGATGAACATTGATTGTAATAGTACAGAGAAGAGGGAGATGATGAGGGCCTGAGTAAAGGAAGGGGGATATATTCAAGAGATATTGTAGAGCAGCCATTCTCCAAGGGTAGTCCCTGGGCCCCTGATGGTCCCTGAGACCCTTGCAGGGAATCCATAAGATCAAAACTATTTTCACAATTATACGAATACATTTTGATTTCCAATATGGTAAATATCTTTAGATAGATCCCATAGAAATAAAAGTCCTTTGGGGTCCTCGATTTTTAAGACTATAAAGGGGTCCTGAGACCAAAAGGTTTGAGAACTGCTGTAGTAGAGAAAGAAATCACAAGATTTGGCAAGAAATGGGGGTAGGGTGGGAAGGAAGGAGGAGTCAAAGAAAGGAGTCCAGGATGACACTGTGATTTTGAAACTGGGTGTCTGAAAGGATCCTTGACAGGAATTGGGAAATTCAGAAGAGGGAACGGTTTGGCGGGGGAAGATGATGAATTCTCTTTTAGGCATGTTGAGTTTGAAAGGCCTACGGGACATCTAAATGTAAATGTAAAGCAAAAAATAATTGCTCAGCAGAGAGACAAGGGCTGGATAAAGAGATCTGGGAATTATCAGTATAGAAATGATGGTTTATGCTAATGTGAGCTGATGAGACCACTAAGTAAGAAAAAATGGGGGGGGGGAGAAAAGAGGACTGAGGACAGAGCCTCAGGGGATACCTACAGTTGGAAGTACATAATAGGCTTGTTGATTGATTGATCTGGTCTAATTCATGTGCTTGAAGACCTTCAAGAAGGATGAAGCCACCACCTCCAGAAATGGTTGAGGAGTTTTAGATGACTCTAATTGTTAGGAAGGGGCAGCTAGGTGGTACAGTGTGTGGCGTGCCAGGCCTGGACTCCTCTTCCTGAGTTTAAATGTGGCCTCAGACACTTACTAGCTGTGTGACCCTGGGCAAGTCACTTAACCCTGTTTGCCTCAGTTAATGGCAAACCACTCCAATACCTTTGCCAAGAAAACCCCAAAATGGGCCACAAAAGGTCAGATCCATGTGAAAAATGGCTAAACAAGTTTTCGTTGTGATGCTAATATCACAAAGCTAACCACCCAAAGTAGACTCATTGAGACTCCTGGGACATCTGTCCATAAAATAAATAGCTGATATATACACGGTGCTTTGAAATTTACAATCAAACAATAAACATTTTTAAGAGCCAACTATGTGTCAGCACTTTATGTTAGTTACCTTATTTAATCTACTTAATAATTCATGAGGTAGATACAATGGGGTATTTTTATTTTAAAATTTTATAAATGAGGAAAGATGAGCCCAAGGTTAGCAAGCAAGAGAGGAAGGATTCAGACCCAGGCTTCACCAGACCCCAAGTCTATGCTACACCTCTATATGCCTACCACCAACCCCATAAACACATATATTCAAGGGATTAAGTTACGTTCTATGAAACACTAGTTTATTGGTATCTTAGTAATAGATTTTGATGATAGATGACTGTAAGAAGTCTTAAGCAGTATAGAACTGGGTGGGAGCATCTCTGCAGAGAGTAATGGGAGGAAACATTCTTCCTTTCTTTCTCCCCTGCACCAGGGTCTGGCTGGGGCTTGGTCCTTCCCCTTTTGAGGCCCTCTGGGTTGTGCTGGGATGGATAGTGCTTGACAAACCTGAACATGTTTTGGTTTGGGGTTTGGCAAATTCTGGGTCTCCAAAGTATTTCACAAATGTTTTGTGTTCAGTAAAACCAACAGACATTGGCCAAGCACCTTCCCCCCTAATTTTTAAGCCCATGTGTTTTTAAGAGAAATTTAATCCGTATGTTTCTGGTACATTTATATGTAACTCATCAAATATTCTTTTGTACAAACTGCTTCATGTTGAAGATGCCTTGGGAGATTCTTAAATTTTTAAAGACTTTCTGTTAGTATCAAGAATCTGTTTAATAGGTGGGGCACAGGGCACAAACTGGTCATTAGGGGATAGGTAGCCCTGGGTCTGACCCTTTCCCCATCCCTGACACATTGAGAGGGGTTTTTTTAAGTTTCTGTTATTTTGCACCATACACACACACAATCAGTAGAGTGTAGTAAAGACAGCCTCAAAGCAGCATGGTATAGAAAATAAGGAGTCAGGCTCAGAGTCTTAAAGATCTAGCTCAAATCCTGCCTTGGATATATATTGGCCATTTGACCAGGACAAATCACTTAAACTTTCACTGATTTATGCAGCTCTCTAAGGTTATGTCACAGAATGCAGAAAATAATTGTAATGTTTGGAACAGAAACTTTAAAAAGTTAAAAGATAGACAAAATCTAGGCCATGTGGTTAGAAAAGAGCTGTATCTTAGAGTTTCTTAGACCTATTTTGGGCAGGAGGGTAGGGGGAGTGGGTTTGGAGACGAGGGAGTATACATTACACGGGGATGGTTGGGATGAGGGGAAGAATTGCATCATCCAGTTAACTGAGTTTGAGACACTGAAAGAGATCAGGGGCTGAAAAATGGCACATAAGATGGTGTTGTGTGGTCTGCAGAGGTCAAGGCCCAGAGCCCTGGAGACATTTTGAATGATACCATCACCCAGCTCCTTTTAGATGGAGGCCTCAGGCAAGAACACCACTAAGTTGCTTTTGGATGTGTTTTGGCCTACTGGGGTTCTGGGAGGAGAGACAGAACTTTTCCACTGCTTACAATGGGGCATATGTGTGTGCAAAGCTCCTAACAACTCTACCAGAGACTCAGGCAAAGAGGAACTGATGGTAATTTGTGTGGCCTTAGTTTTGGAACAGCTTAAAAAACAGAGCTGAAACAACCAGGAGGATTCAAGACAGATGGAAAACCAAACTCCTGCTTGGTACAAGGACTCTGACTATATCTCTCTACCTAGGGTGGCTCCAAAGCCAACCTGTGGAAGTACAGGTGGATTTAAAAGATAAATTGGTGGGGGAGGGGTGGGGGGTGATTTGCTTTACAGATCACAGAATTATGGAATTCAGAGATCTTCTATTTCAAGGGACCTTCACCTTTTTTGTATTGTGGACCCTTTGGCAGAGTGGTGAAACTATGGTCCCTTTCTGAAAATAAGATCTTTAAAATGAATAAAATAAAATACGTGGAATTACAAAGGAAACCAATTATTGAAATACAGTTACCAAAATTTTTTAAGTTCATTGACTCCAGGTTAAGAACCCCTGAGTTGAAGAAAAGGGGCCAATATGCATTGCTAAATGAAGTTTTCCTATCCAGGAGTCTCCTATGCCAGTACAATCACAGGTTCAGTTCCCCAGCTTTGCGCACTCACTTTCCTCATCTGCAAAATGAGATGAACACTGTCTTCTTCCTATCTCATAAATAAGTGTGACTCCTAAATCATTTGTGTTTTCTAAGGAGAATGTCATGTGGATAGTACTACAAACAGAAGCTGTGTCTCAAAGAGTTTATTTTCAGCTGGGTACTCAGAGCAGTGGATGCTTGAGTGGTTTCTAACTTTAGAAATTCATTCTTGCCCAGTCATTGACACTGGTGACTATCTGGGAGTATCCTGTGACTATGGTCTCATTTTGCCCACAGTCTTCCCTGATAAGTAAAGTTTGCCTAGCTCTTTCCTTGTCTAGGACAATTCTGGTGGCATCCTCAAGTAAGGTAAGAAAGTGTGCTAAGAATTCAGAGAGAGTACTAACCCAGCATTCCATATTTGTAAGGAAATATACAAAAAATTGGAGAAGGTCCAAAAAAGTGTTTTAAAAATGTTTAAATTAATGGAAAGTTATTCCTTTGAAGAAAGGTTAAGAATTATAAGGGGGAGGGTTTCAGAGAAACCTGGGAAGGCTTGTATGAACTGATGCAGAGTGAAGTGAGCAGAATCAGAAGGACAAGTTATATAATAGCAATGCTGTTGCAGAGACAAACAGCTTTTAAAGACTTGGGAACTTGGATCAGTGTTATATTCTGGTAATTATAATCATCACTGAGCAAAAAAAAAAATAAAATTAAAATTCACTTTCACTAGTAGTTGATTGCCACCTAATTAGCTCTACAAGGCTAAATCACTCAGAACAAGTACCTCTACACCTAGAATGAAGTGTAGGACTGAATGACTATCTGGCATATTTAAGCAGTAATAATAAAGGAATCTATCTACCCAGTTGCAGATTTAGTGGTCACTGCTTCAACTTTCTATGTTTTTTCTTTTGTAGGGTTTTGTAACATGAACGTTTTAATATATAAGGAAAACCAGAAAAGAGGATTGTCTATAAAACTATGAATGTCTATTATATATAGTTTTTAAAGTATATATTCCATTTAAATACAATAATTCTAAAGATGCTCTGCTAGTCCATATCTCCTTCTGAACTTCCTCCTCTCTTCTGTATATATTTTTTTTAATGTTTAATTGAGGCTACTTTTTTTTTCTTCTCTTTCTAGCACTACTCTCACTCCTCATCCCCTTCCCCCACACCATCCTGAAGCTTCAATTTTCTGCCTTATTTTTCCTTTATTAGTATGCTGTATCTGTGTTTTCAAAAACAGATGGCCATTGATAAAGCCAGAGTAAGAAAGGGCAAGTGAGAATGAAGTCACAGTAGAAAGAGATTTCAAGGAGCCCACTTTCCCAATTTTCCTTACCTGTTTCTCCCAGAATCCCTGAAGCCTTTAGCAAAGGGGTTTCGATCAATTTTTAATCTGGTGATCTGGAGACAATAAAATAAAAGGCAAATTAGTACTTTTAATGTAGATTTCTTTTCCATTTATTCCTTTTTTTAAAAAATCACCCTGAGTATCATAGTTGACATCACAATTCATTTTCTTTTCAGGTTTTGTTCCAAGATAAAAGATTAGAAAACAGTCATACTTTTACCTGAAGACTGACCAAGAGATTATCTATACAAGTGCAGAATGAATACTGCAACAGGAGATCCCCTCGCCCCATGGACCCATGGAGCTGTGCATCTGTTACTACCATTAGAATTAGAAAATCCACTTTGTAATCTTGCCTCTGCCACTTAGAAACTGTGTGATGTTAAGCAAGTCACTTAAGCTCTCTGTGCCTCCTCCTCTTCCTCCCAAGGCAGTCTTCACAAAAGGCAAACTGGACCCAACCAGATCCAAGAGGCACTTGCTCACTCAGGAGTGGGAAGTCCACTAGCCCTATTTCCCATTTGGGGCAGAAGTACCTGCTAAGTTATCCTCATGTATTTCTCTAGTGCCTAGATTGGCAAAGCTCAACCAATAAAACCCATATGAATTCCAGTGTTTCCATTTTCAGCCATGGCCATGAGAGGCATTCTGATACTTATGTGTCTGGACCAGATGTTAATGACTCATTATAGGCAAACCCTTCAGGACCTGTGGGTTGGGGTGGGGAGTCCAGGGAAAAGGGGGGAGGCACACTGAATTTACTGTAATTCTAGAAATGAGGGAATAGCATCACTTAAGACTTTTTTTTTCAGTTTTCTGCAAATTGTAGGACTTATCACTAGGACAGCTCATGTTGTTTCCTGTGTTCCAAATCCCCAAAGCTCTCCTCATCTCCTCTTCCGACTCACTTCCCCACAGTGGAATTTCCCAAAGACACAGCCTTTAAAAGTCTTTAAAAGGCAACATGAGATCCTGACAACCAGACTCTAACATGAAAGAACCATGCTAGCTTTAAGGTGACTTTTTTTTCCCTGCAACACTCCTTGCTCCAATATCACATGCTAATAACACAGTGCTAATAACGTAGTGAAAGAAAGCAATCCTGCCTCTGTTTTATGGAGCAGATCAGGAGCCTGAAAGTTTGGCTTTCTAAATCCCACTGTCTGCCACATGAAGACTGTAGTGAATTTAAAGAATGTCATTGCTTTTCTGTTCTTAACTTAAAATCAGCTCTTTCCTCCTCCATAATCCTCAGTAATAAACTACACACCATATTTTCTTTTCAAGTTGAGGTTATAATCGTCCGTTCTCCCTTTCAAGTTGGCTTATGCCGTCAAAACCATTTATGAGAGGGCCTTCTGATAAATGATTGGGCTGCCATACTGTTGAGGTTCTCTGTGTCTCTAAGGACATTGTATATCATGGTTTCTGGAGAGCCAGCTAAAAGCTACCTACTCCTCAGCAGCTTGCTCACAGCCCTAAAGGTGTTGGCATGCAAGGTTTAAAGGCAGCAACCATCCAATGATGCAATAACTGTTTTCTCCCATTTGTTCCAAGGACTTCATCTGCGAAATCAAAGGACTTGGCAAACAGTTGGCCAATACCGCTCACTACAACTGAGCTTGCAAGTTGAATTTTTCTGCAGCTTCCCATGGGCAGCTCATGGCAGAATGGACTGGGAGTCAGGACGACTTGGGTTTAAATCCTACCTTGGAAATTTATGAGCTATGTGACCTTGGACAATCACTTAATCTCAGCACATCAGTCTTTTCATTTGTAAAATTGGAGGAATAATAGCACCATCACAGGGTGGTTGGGACCATCAAAGATTTTCATATATGTATGTATGTATATGTATATATGTATGTATGTATATGTATATATATGTGTGTGTATATATATACATATATATATACACAAAAATCCTCTTTGATATATATCTCACTTTTCAAACCTTAAAGTGCCTAATAATAATAATAGAAATAGCAATAATAATACTAATAACTAGCTTTTATATATCGCTTTAAGGTTTGCAAAATGATTTATATGTATTATCTCATTTGAAAAATTAAATTTTTATTCATATAAATAGAAGGGTTTTTTTCCTCAAAAGGTACTTGGTCCATCAGCAGTCAAGATGGTAAACACATTTCCCAAGTTAGCCCCACTATGTGTGATCAGTGTATTCTGGGATGCAAAAATCATTGGTTCCTTGACTGTCAGGGCCATCACAGCCTCAGGGAAATGGAACCAACCAAGTCTTTGGGTGCCACTAATGTTGAGGCAATGGAATGGCCTGACATGTCTTTCCTACCATAAACTACCCATGATGGACTTCCTAATCACCTAGAGTGATCTCACAGAAGTTTTGTTCAAGCTTCATCACATGGAAAACAGGGGCCTATAGAAGCATCCTCTTGAATTTCCACTGCATAAGCCTACTCTTTCTGGTATAACCTGAACTACCCTATGATTCTGGCTTGGCCACTATTCATTTTAAACCTTCAACTGAATTTGAAACCTAGCAGGGTTTCTTAGGAACAAGGCTTGAATCACGCAGCATGGTGCAAATGCTATCAGCCACATCTAAGTAGGAAATGGAAATCAGAAACATCAGAGCTTGATTTTCACAACACCAAAACTCAGAGGTTCCTTCCTCAATCAAAAGTTCTCTTTCTTCTTATGGCTAGCAATGCTTTTGAAGGTTTCTTCTGGGCGATAAGAATGGCTCCACTCAGGAAGAAAGTAATTTTGCACGGATGTGTTTGAAAAGTTGGAATAAAATTGTCTGGATGGCTTAGGATATAAAAGAGCAACTCAAAAATCCTTTCAGATTTGCATACGAGCAATCCAGGCTGAGGTTTCAAACTTACATAGGGCCAATTCTTATTGAAAAATAGAACTCTTACCTGGAGAGATCAGAGCTATATTTTTAAAAAATCAAGTTTCCTATTCACCAGAGAAGGTTTATCTGTGCCTATGTACATATGTGTGTATGTGTGTGTGTGTGTGTGTTTTCCCCATGAAGAAAACTGGAAATCTGGATAACTAGCTTGCCTTAGCATTCTCATTAAATATCCTGGTGACCTGAGGCACAATATCAATTATCTTTAAGGGAAGCTAGATGGCTCAGTGGTTAGAGCACTGGCTCTGAAGTTGAGGACACATGAGTTCAAATTTGGTTTTAGACACTTACTAGCTGTATGACCCAAATACTTAACCTTCATTTGTCTCAGTTTTCCCATTTCTAAAATGGAGATAATAATAGTACCTACCTCCCAGGGTTCTTGTGAGGATAAAATGATGCCATATTTGAAAAGATCTTTTTGAACTTTAAGACACTATATAAATGTTAACTACTAAGGTCCCTTCCATCTCTAGTAATCAAAGGTACAGTTTTTGTGATGAAAACTTCCACCTTATTCAGTTATTCAGGGTGGAGATATTGGCTCCATCCCCCACTAAGGAACAAGAGTAGAGGATGAAGTCACCTCTACCCCCTCCTCTACAATTTTACTCTCCACAATGAAATTCTGGGCAAGGCATAAGACTTCCTTTCTGCCTGCCTAGCCTCTGCCAAATTGGCCCTCTGTGAGCAAATAACAGTAATACTGAAGCCTCTCTGACTGCTTAGCTCAGGGAAGCTGAATGGGGGAGGGGGTAAGTTTAGATGTCGGGCTGAAGGGAGGAGTGGAGAGGTAGTGAGGAGACAGGATTGAAAAACATTCCACTGAAATAAAAACACTTCCTTCCCCCTCTTACAGTCAAATGATATAAGGTAGTGATAGAACGCCAGGCCTTTGATTCTGAAGTGTGGCCTAGTAAAAACTGCACAGGGCTAGGACTCTATGAGAATGAAAGAAAATCACTGACTCAGACAGTCAGTATTTCTTTGCTGTTGATTGCTTCTGTCTGATGGCATTCAATCATTCTCAGTTCTCTGCAGTGGTTCTGAGAAAGTGGAATGAGAGAGGTTCTAGAGGAAGATGCTGCAATTTCTTCTCTGTCTTGCTGCCTCTGTTTCCCTCTCCCAAACAGGGGATATCTTCTCTCCTACCACCCATCCCCAACCCCAAAATCATTTTAAAGGAAGGTTCTGCTATTTAAAAACATCTTTTCTATTCTAAGATGCAGAAAAATCTTTGCACAAAAAAGCTAGTTTGAAATGGATAAGAAAGCTTAACTTACAGGACTACTCATCTTGCAAATAGTTAAAATGGTACCCTACACATAAGGTCATTTCTAGTGCTTTGGGCCTTGTCTCACAGCCTAAATATTATCATAGGGTAAATATTAAGGGAGTAGAAGTACAAAGATCATAGTCTTTAAAAGGTTTTCTGGGGCCAAACCAGGGGTAGTTATGGATAATAAGAGACTTTTCTTTCTTTAAGAAGTATAATAAGGAACTCTAGGGCACTATGTTAAGCTATATCTAAACAGCCAAATTAAGAAAGGAGATGTGCTACACAGCTCCAAATCATTTTATAAACACAATCTTCTTTGTTGAGCCAAGGATTCATCCCATGAAAACGGAAAGCTCTTAGTCTCCACATGAGCTAAGGCATTTCTATTCAGCTACCTTCTCTTTTTGTCATGGAGGCTTGGTCATCAAGACTCCAGTGGAAAAGTAGAGTCCCAACCAAGAAAGTTATTGAATATTCTATCTAGCACTGGTATAATCTGTCTGAAGCAGACCCCACTTTTGAATTTATAAACAAGGTGAGTTGAGAGGTAGCTATTATTATTATTTTTATTTCCAAAAATATTCATTAGAGAGACACTGTAAGTAGACAGATACTTGGAAATGGAAAAAGATCTGAAGCAAGTTGAAGAAAGGTGACATTTCAGGAACAGGAGAATGTAAGCTCCTTTTTTCATCTTGTCTTTGTATCAATAGCACCTAGATCAGGGGTGGGGAATCTGCAGCCTCAAGACCACATGTGGCCATCTAGGTCCTCAAGTATGGCTCTTCAGGCAAAGGGCCTCTGTACCAAACCATACCTGGAAAAGTATTCTCCCCTATAACATACCCAACCTTTGCCTTAAAACCTCCAATAAAAGAGTATGACTACCTCTCAAGTCAACCCTTTCCTCTTTGGGATAATTCTAATCATTAGAAAAAAATTTATTCCTTTTTGTTCTGAGGTTAAATTTGTCTCTGCAATTCCTACCTGTTGTTCTACAAACAAGCAGCTAACCTAATACTCTTTGAAACTGATGAGAAAGCAACCAACCAGAAATGAGCCATTCTTTGCCTTAAAGAAGAAATGGCCATCTCTCATTCCAGCCTGAAATTCTCAAAACAGATAAAATATGTAAATGGAAGTTGGACAGGAAAATGTCAACTCTTTTCAATTTTATGGAATATATACATGGAGGGAAAAAGAGATCATGCACATAAAATGACTTAGAACCATAAAGCACTTCACCACTTTCTCAATTTGCCTTTTTAGATATAACATGATACAGTAATGATCCTTTACAGTAGAAACTTCCTTCTAAAAAGTGAAAAGTCTCTTGCAGGACCTTTTTTTCAGCAACAACTTGCCTCAGCATTCAACTAAATAACTTTCCATTTTCTAATGGAGCAAGCATATTGGAAGTCCACCAGCAAATCTCACTCATTGAAATAGACACTCCTGAACCTGGCCAGGAGCAAAGGGGTAAAGATTGCATTCTTCATTGAATTTATCCTCTGCCCCCTTCAGTGGCACCACCATCCTCCACTTTATCGAGATTTCAGACCTTGAAGTCTTAATTTTTTTTAATCCTGTATGGCTAATTATCCATCAAATCCTATTGCTTCTTCCTTTAAAATTTTTCTCTTGCCTGACCTGTCCTCTACATTCCTCCTGCAATACTCCCCCAACCCAATTTCTCTTACTTGGAAGAATGCAATAGCCTCCTAACTCATTTCTTTTCCTTCAGTCCCTCCTTCCTCCAATTCATCCTATAACCTAGAACATTACCAGACTAATCTAAAAAATATTATCTCCTATCTTTTCTCTCCATTGTTCAAAACTTAATAGCACCTCCCATTGCCTAAAAAGAAAGTCAAAACTAGACAGACTTACGTCTTTTTTCTTGATTGTCTAGACTTGAGAAAGTGATGGAGAAAATGTTAATAATATAAATTAGGGGCAGCTAGTGGCACAGTGGATAGAGCAACGAACTTGAGTTCAAATCTGACCTCAGACACATAACACTAGCTGTGTGACTTTGAGCAAGTCACTTAACCCCAATTGCCTCACAAAAAAAAAAAGTAAATTAAACTTAAAGGTGGGTGGTGTGTATTTATTTTTTTTCCCGGAGAAACAATTGCTAAATATTTACCAGAATACCATTCTCCTGCTGAATTGATAGTGAGTCATAATAGCCATACTTTGAGTCTAAGCATTCAACTAATACAGAATCCATTCAATTGTATTATTATCTAGTTCACATTTCTCCATCCTCTCCACAAGAACAGTATGGGCTATTTCATCAAGGGTTTTGTTAAACTTAGGAGGAAGAAAGGGAGACAGACAGACAGAAAGGAGATAAAGAGAGAGAAGGAGGAGGGGAGAGTAAGAGAAGAAAGGAAGATAGGTAAGAAGAAAGGAAGGTAGGTAGGAAGGAAGGAAGGAAGGGAAAGAAGGGAGGAAGGGAAGGAAGGAGGAAAGAAAGGAAGGAAGACAGCAGGAGGGATATAGGGAAGAAAGAGAAAGAATCTTTTAGATTTTAGTAAAGTCTATATATATGTAATATATTTATATATATACATATATATGTATATATATATGTGTGTGTACATATATATATATACATACACACACATAGGTGTGTTATATGTGCACGCACACATATACCACATATACATAAAGTATTCTTCTGATCTACTACCATGGTAACCCTTTCAAAAAAGAAAATAAGGTTAGTCTGGCATGACCTGGCCTTGGTGAAGCCATATTAGCACTTTGCAATTATTGCTTCATTTTCTAGACTTTTCCCAGGAACCAAAGTCAAGCTTTCTGGCCTAAAGTTTGCAAACTCCATTCTCTTCCTTTAAAAAAAAATAGGGCATTTGCCTCCCTCTAGTTTTGCAGCACCTATACTATTTTCCATGACTTTTCATGTATCACTGATAGTATCTGCACAAACATATCCTCCAGTTCTTTCTACACATTCACCTGGACCAAGTGACCTGAATTCCTCAAGAGCAACTAGGAGCTCTCTTCATATGCCCTGACCTGATACTTGGGTATCAGCCATTTTTTCCTTGTAATTTCTGGTACAAATGTCACTCTTCTCATCATGGAAAACAAGCAAAATGAGAAGTCAGTGGTTCTTCCCTCTTTCTATTGCCAGTTGTCACTGTCCAATCCATTCCAAGCAGCCATCCAATCTCTTCTTTGATCCTTTTCTTCCCACAAATACAGCTTTTTAAAAAATCCTTTGTGATGTCCATAGCTTCCTTTGCCAGCTGAACTCGTGCTGAGCTTTAGCACCGCTGTTTCTCTGGTCAACCATGCCATAGACTCCCATATCCAGTCTCTGTTACCTGCCCTTACTTTGATTTTCTAAACCTGTCTCCAATACCTGGGCTCAAATACCAGCTCCCTCACTTATAAGCTGTGTGACCAGACCACATAAGCTCTCTGTTCCTTCATATGTAAAGCAATAACACTTACCTCACAGGATTTGCCTTGAGAATCAAATAATGCTTCATGCAAATGGACATACAAATGTCAGCTATTATCCTAAATGTGCTTCTGCAAAATGTTTGCTGATTGGTTTCAAAAATGCCAAATCATTTTAAATTCAGCAAGAAGGCTGACGATCCAAACAAATTCTACAGTCAGAGGTGTGCAGGAGCCAGCTCTAACTGGCTCAAGACAGCTGATTGTGAAATTTTCAATGTGAGCATTTATAGCCTGGAAATAAGCAAAGGCTACAAACCAGGGCTTGATTTATTGTTTTCTTGATTGTCTAGACTTCAGAAAGTGTTAATAATACAGATTAAACTTAAAAGTGTATGTAATGCTTTACATCCCCCCCGCCCCCCGCCCCGGGCAAAAGACAGTTGTTAAATATATACCAGCACACTCCTGACTCTGGTAAAGCTCCTTATCATTCAAAAATTAATTTTATAAAATGATTATAGATAGATTTACATCTTTATGTGTAACCATATTTTTTTATTATACTATGTTATGGAAATGCTTGTTTTATTCCATAAATTATAAATAAATAAAATTATAAAAATTTTTAAATAAAATCATCTTATAATGATAGCATTCAATTTACTTTTTCTTTAAATCCAAAATTTTTACTGCCTGTTTGCCTCAGGCAAAGTGTAAGTGGGAAAAGAAACTTCACTGAACTTATCCAGAGGTTGGAAGAATCTCTTACTACTTTAGCTCAGTGTGAAATCAAGTTGCCTACCATGAGAAGGGCTCAAGTGAGGCCAGGATGCTGGATTACAAAGCATGTGATAGTAAATTCTCTTGCCAGCAGCACCACTGACTCGTTGAGTTACTTTGAGTCACTATAACTCTGTCCTACACTTGAAAATAGGGAAACTACTAAGAAAATTCAAGATATTTCAAGAATCTGGGCTGGGATTTGAGGTAGGGGGAAGATTAATAAGGTAAATGCTTAGATAAATTGTGTCAAAAGGTGTCATGACCAATAGTAACTATGTACTGCATGCCCATTGTTTGTATGGAACTTCACGAACAGTGGAGATTACATGGATTACAAAACATAGGAGAGAAGTGTAACTGATGGGGAAGAAAGGAAGGAGCACATTTCAGATGCATACAGATGGGGCAGTCGTGATAGAGTTATGGAGATTGAGGGAAGACACATTCCTAGTCATGACTCACTGAGACTGAAAGGATTCAGGGATAAGATGAGTGTCAAGTTGAAAGAAAGCTGCTTGCTGGAGACAAAAAAAAAAGATTACAAATGAGAAGGATGAGGACACTATACCTCAAGAAAAGAAAGAGAAAACTCAAAGGTGAGCAGCTTTGCCTGGCTAAAATGGGAGAACAGGGATACAGACATAGCACATTAAGAGATGATGTCAACTCAATAAGGCTGGTGACCTTAGCAGCAGAAGGCCTTGAAGGCCATGTTCAAAACTTTCTTAAAACTGATTCAAATCCAGATTGCATTAGATGCTACCATGCATAATAATAGCAACAACATAATTAATAATCTGTGTTTACTTATCACCTTTTCTCATGTATGGCATTTTTCTTCCAGTGATGCATCCACAGACATAATTTCCTACCAAATGCCTAAATAAAACAGGACAAAATCATTCTGAGTCCCAAGCAAAGCCCCTTACCTGCTGGTTCTGATAGGCTGTGACTGTGGTGAAGACAGTCTCTGGGAAGTTGAAAGTCTTCACACCATCCCCCACAGGGACAGGCTTAGTAGGAGAGAGGTCACTACTGAAGTCCTTGCGGATCACATGGACTCGGGGCTGGTACTTGTGCATAGAGTGCAGGATAATCTGGAAAGGGAAGGAGAAGCATTGCCCAGGGTAGATAGCTCTCCAGGTCCTGCCATTAATGTATAGATCATGCCCTCAAGTCACAGTCTAGAGCTTAACCATCAGAAGGAGGCTGGTCACTTTCTAAAGGATTAGTGGTGGCTGGATGGAAGGCAGGGAAATTTGGGGTCAGCAATGTTGTGGAAGGTAAGTGGTATTATATGGGACAATAGGATATCACTGTTCCATCCAGGGAATCCACAGGGATTACAACACACTCTCTGTAATTAAACACAAATGTTTAATGACACTGTTGTGGTCCCAACTGACTGTGATATCACTCCAAGAGAATGCTTTATATCCTCTGTCTTGTGGACTTATTATCACCCCCAGCTCCAGTTACTCAATGCTCTTGTGCATAATTTCACACTATATTAATCTGCACTGGTTTATGTCACTGTTTGAGCGTTCTCATGTCCTCTTAATGCATTTATTTTCTGCCTCCCCTGATAGATTCTAATTTCTTGGAGGGCACAGAGCATCATTTTAAATGAAGGATCCAGTGCATCTGTCCATCAGAACAAGGTGGCAGCTCAACGATGTTTTGGACTGCCGAAGTAGCCTGTGTATTGTTCAGTTGTCCCCAATTATACAGGGAAACCTCAAAGTAGGTTCCCTCCCTGATAGTGCTGTCAAATCCAGCTGAGCTTCCAAAAGTCCTAGTGCTTCAATCAGGCTGATTCTTTGAGAAAATGCTGCTATTGTCTTAAGCAGTAACTTTTACTGAAACTGAATTTTTAAAATATGTTTGTCCTTCTTCCTACCTAGACTGTAAGCTCTCTAAAAGCAAGGTCCAGGAATTACATTTCTTTGTAATATTCCACAGCACCTAGCAGGTATTATATATACTGGTTAATTTGTTTTGATTTGTAACACAAGAGAATAAATAAGAGAAATGAGATTTCATTCCACTGTTAAGATTGTAAAGGTAAGAGATGTATCTGTTCTGGCTGAGAACCTGAAAGCAAGGAGGTGACTGTTAAGCAGAAGAGGACATAACTAGACAGATGTTATCAAAGTCTGCAAGTGGGACAGCTGTGCAGCAATAAGAGGATGAAGAGATGAGAAGTTAGAGGTCTCCTTAACTCACATGTCCTTGGTCATCCAATTCATTGTTGGTCAGTTTGAGTTTGTCAAAACTGACCACCTGCCTCATCCATGTGTCTCCAGAAGCCAGTGAATCAGGATGGATATAAACTCTTGGAGGGACGGGGGAGTCAGCATTGCCGGCCACCATCCACTTTGAGCTGTGATATACATATCTGAGAGAGAAAGGAAGAGAAGAAAGATTCAGAGGCAGAAAGTGGAAACCATTTGGGGTAGAACAAGGCAAATGGAAATGGGTAGAAAGAAAGAGGAAAAGAAGCCAGAAAAATTAGAAGAGGGTGGGGAGAAAAGAGAACTAGGAAAAAAGTTAAAGGAGATAGCAAGACAGAGACAGAGAGAAAGAGAGAAAGAGAGAGTAAAAGAGAAGGAAGGAAGGAGGGAAGGAAGGAAGGAAGGAAGGAAAGAAGGAAGGAAGGAAGGAAGGAAGGAAGGAAGGAAGGAAGGAAGGAAGGAAGGAAGGAAGGAAGGAAGGAAGGAAGGAAGGAAGGAAGGAAGGAAGGAAGAAGGAAGGAAGGAAGGAAGGAAGGAAGGAAGGAAGGAAGGAAGGAAGGAAGGAAGGAAGGAAGGAAGGAGAGAGGAAGGAAGGAAGATGAGAATTTAAATACTGGGGAAAATGAAAAAGAGAGAGAAAAGTAAAGGAATATTTGAGGTGGAAAGGGATGTGGGGTTACTGAACAAAGCCATAGCTCCTCAGAAGGGAAACATTCTCCATGTTCCCTTCCCATTCCCTCCCCCTCCCCTTGCCATACATGTAGACACATCCACACACAGACACACAGACACAGGCATGCATGCACACACGTGCACACACACACATCCTGAGCCCATATGTGTAACTATGGGCTAAAGTACTTTACTGCAACCTTTCACCTTTCAAATGCAAACCAGATAATCCCTTGGCCACTTGTTCAGGATCTGGTTGCTTATTAAAAACATCTTCTCCCTTATTCTCTTATAAAACTCAGCCATGTGCAAAGAACCACCAAGCCCCCACTTATTAACTATTTCCTTTCTCTGAGTCTGAATTTTTAAGACACTCCTAGAAAAGAAGGAGGGAATTCAATAGCTCAGGAGCTCTGTATAGGGTCTATGTCTTGTCACCAGGTGTATTCTAAGAAATTCCACCAAATAAGGCTTCCCTTTACACTTCATTATCTTTTGCATCCCTTCAAATGATGACTGTTAGGGAATGTTCCATTCTTAGTATAGAAGAGGGTCTGACTCCTGTGTCTTCCTTGCAGCATACAGATTAGTGGAAGTTTTCTTTGCTCCTGCTTCTCTTCCATGCTGCCTTCCTCTAGAGAAGGGCAAGTAGCTATAAATGTTGCCCTGCTGGTAACTCAGAGTAGATCATTGGAGAGCCCAGTTCCCAGAAGGCCACTGAGGTAGTGAGTTCTCCATCCCTGGAAGTCTTTGAACAAGGGATGAATGACCACCTGCTGGGAATATTAATACCTTTAGTCTTTTCTCATAAGTCTTATTACTAAGCCCACTCACATTAAACTGTCCTGGTAATCCTGATCAGTTGAGGAGCTAGATCTAAACACAGCTCTTTCTCTTTTTGTTTTGTAGATCTAAGGTATGATGCCTCTCTTATTCCCTTAACCAGCTTTGCGGACTTCCCCTAATGCTGATCATAACCTGCTAGTTTGACTACACTAATACTGTTCCATCCATTTCTACCCACTACCCACCCATCCAGCTCTGTCCAAGAAAGCACAGGATTGGGAGGGACCTCTGGAGGCCAGCTTGTCCATATGCTCCCTCAGGAAAGACTGCCTGTCAACCATGCAATGCAATAGATTTCAAGTCTTTTCTTAATGACTCCTAGGGAAGGCTATTGATTAACCTGCTTTACACTCTAATACATCTAGTGTGGGTGATTCCATCCTCATAGATACCCTAACCTCAACACAGATCACAGCTCTCCTGATACAACTACCTTCTTCATAACTCCTACTAATAAACATTCCTGACTCTCTGTTTTGTGTTTCTTTATGTTTCATCCAAGGTCCTCCTACTGCAAATGAAAACTTTTGCCTCTAACTTGGGGAGATAAAAAAATAGGCAAATTCCTTTCCTCCTTGGAATAAACCTTCCATATGGTTATTTGGAATTTGTTTGGTATTCATTTGGCATTGTTTAATGTATTTATTGGGCCATCCCTTATCCTTCTCTTATTCAGGATAAATTTATCTTTGTCTCATTAGCCTTTTGACTAAGCTCCACTCACTCATATTATACAACCCTGGTATGATTCCAGTTAGCAAAAGCTGAAAGAAGATATTAGGTCACTTCATCATTCCCTGGCCACTTATAAGGATTTGGAATATGTTAAATTCCTTCCCCTTGATGCAGAGGCATATCTAGAAATTCTGGCACCTGGGGCAAATTTAGTTGATGCTACTGGCCTTCCCTACAAGGGAGCAGGGAATAGGGAAGTAGAAACCCCAGAGGCTACTGCTGGGGAAATCACCATGTTCTTCTATCACTACTAGTCTTAAGTATCTTGAGTGACATAGGGTCCCCCAGGCCTGGAAGCACAATGGAGACTGTGCACCCCAGATAGGTATAGTCAAGCTAGCACCAATGGTCAAGAAAAGTAGGCCCTAGAAGAGCAATGTGATAGTGATGGGACCATGAAGTGGGAAGCAGCAACACAGGAATGGAGGAAGATTATGAGGCACAGAAAACCTTAGCAAGAAGAAAGCAGCCCCCACAATGGCAGGACCCTAAACATAGCCCCAGTCACTTGGTACAGCTCTGCCTTGCCAAGAGAGTATGTATCATCCAGGGCTTATATGATCATGTGTTCATATATCATATGATTTTTTACAGAAACTTGTTTGAATGTCCTGTCTAGTTTATGATTTCTGTACAGCAAACTGTGAGAGTGTTTTGTTAAATTGTCTCAATGGTTCACATACCATCTGTAACAATGCCCACTCTTCCACAGCATGGAGCTCTCATTACCTGTATCTCTTATTATCCACAGGCACAATGTCCATTGCTATGTAATACTGCTGGTGAGGGTCCAGGCCTGTAATTTTCACTCTCATAGCTGGAAACATCCGCCTATGGGAAGTAAGAAAGAATGCAAAGAAATACAGAGGAATAAGATAGTGAGCAAGCAGCCTTGGGTAACAACAGTAACAATATTGTTAATAACCATAGTATTAATTACACTGTTTTAGCCCTTTAAGGCTTGGAGAGTGATGGTAAACAACTAATTTGAAATTATAGAATCAAAGGATCTCACTTAACATTTGTGATATCCCCATCAAATAGTCAATAATCCCTTATTCAAAGACTTTCAGCAACAGGGAACTCACTACCTCCTAAAGCAGTCTATTCCACTTTTTGACAGTTTGGTGCCAAAACTAGTTTTCCTTGTATGGAGTTAAAATTTGCCCCCTTCCAGCTTCTACTCATTGCTCCGTGTTCTGACATCTGGAGCCAAGCAGACCAAATCTAATCCCTGATCTGCTTGGGAGCCCACCAAACCTGAAGCCCATAATAACATCCTTTCCTTCTCCATCCTTGAGCCTTCTTTTCTCCAAGCGAAACATCTCAAGCTCTTCCATCAGTCTTCATATAGCATAATCTCCAATCTACTCACCATCCTGGTTACCTTTTTCTGGACATGCTCTAGCTTAGGATGTGCACCCCAGTATCTTCAGCCTTGTGTCATAACTTTTATGACTAAGCCCTACCCACTCACATTAAACTATCCTGGCAGTCTTGATGCAACTCCTATTAGCAGAGGCTAAAGGAAAATACTGGGTTACATTATCATCAAACCCCTTCTGTACCTCCCCGGGCAACTGATAAGGATTTGCAATATTTTACATTTCTTCCCTTTGATACAGAGCCATAGCTAGGAATTCTGGTGCCTTGGGCAAATGCAATCAATGTCCTTCCTAAAATGCAATGCCCCAAACCTGAGTAGTCTATTTCCTCATTTCCAGATGGATAATAAGCCATTGCTTTATCACCAAACTTAAAGAATCTGATTGGGCAGATTCTTAGGTTTGAACTGTTTGAATCATCATTACCTTGGATTACCATGCTCAGAAAATATGAAAAGGCTAGACATTCATGTACTGCCCTTTACTACCCTCCTTGTAAGATTCACTAGACAACATCATCATGATCTTTTCAATCAGAGCTGCCTCCAAAATTTTATAGCCTGTATTATCTGTACTTTTCATTGGTCACAATCATATTGTACAATGTGACACTATCTTTTCTAAAATGCATATTCAGTTCATTAATCCTCTTCTTGTAATGTCTGTCTTTAGGGACATATATTTTTCTCTGATGACTGCTTTAGCTGCATCTCAGAAATATTGGCATTTTTTTTCATCATTACCATTTTTTTCACACCATTATTAATTGTTTCTATTATTTGTTCTTTCACCATTCATTATTTAAGATTTTCTTGTTAAGTCTCTATTTGGGTCCAGTGTTGTCGATGTTTTTATGTGTGTTAGTCTCATCTTGCCTACTAGATTATAAACCCCTTTGTATCGGCTAGAATATCGGTGTGACGAAATGGAGTGGAAAGAGGACTGAACCTGGATCAAACACTGCCTGTGAGATCATGGGTAACTCACTTATCCCCTGTAAGCCTTAGTTTTCTTGACTGAAAAATAGGGATGATGATATCTACCCTTTCTGCTTTCCAGGGTGACTTTGCGGGAAGCATTTTGTGAACGAGAGCACACTACATAAATGCGGAATCTGGTTGCTAGATGCTGCTGCTATTTTTGGTGCAGCATTTGGTAACTGTTCGACAGACGCTGAATCTACGAAGAAAGTCTCATTCTAAACGGTCCCTCGAGGAAGGAAAGGAAGCAAAGAAGGCACTGACATCCCCTTCCCTTAACCAAAGTGCTACCAAAGTTTAAGAAGAAGCATAAAACTGTCAGAAAACATGTCTTGCTGATGACCTTCGGACTCTGTCAACGTGTGCGTCAGGGGAGGAGAAAAGTTGAAGCGGAATCAATGGGGAGTGAACTCAAGTAGCCTCAGGCAGGCCCTTGCTTCGTTCACAGTGGCTTGTTAAACTTGACAAACTGAGCAGCGTCAGGATGTGGCACTTCACTACGTCTCCCATCGCTGGAGAGAGGTGGGGGAGGGAGCAGCCCCTGAGGAGGATTAAGTTTCAGAAATCCCCGAATCAAGCGCACCATTCTTCAGAGAACCACAAGATGCAAGAAAAACACTGAGTTTTTATTGTACAGGGCCCATTCAGGAGCTAGGCACGAAAGGGATGAATGAGTTTTGTGGGAGGTTTATGTTCGTATGAAAGGGCATTAGGTATGGAGTCAGGGATCTATCTGAGCTTTAATCTCTACTCTGACACTCTGTGACGATCCCCACTTAGTTTCCTCATCTGTAAAATGGAATACAAATATTTGAACTTCTCACCTCACAGGAAGGTTGTGAGAATGAAGTGCATTGCAAGAATTAAAATTACTGTATAAATATCAGCTATGTTTACACCATTTACTGCCTGTGAGACCTTGAACAAATACCTTAATCTCTGCTTCAGTGTCCTCATCTGTAAAACGATAATAATAATAGCACTTGCCTCTCAGCGTTGTTGTAAAGTGCTTTGCAAATCTTAAAGTTTTATGTAAATGTTAGCTATCATTTATTTTTATTATACGATGCCATACTTTATGATATCTAGACTTGGAATTGGGAGTTATCACATAGTTGGCGTATAGTAAGTGCTTACTATGGGTTCAGGTTCTATCTCTGAACCATACTGGCTGTGAGAGTTTACACAAATCACTTCACTTCTAAGTGCTCCCAGGTAATTCTCTAAGATGATAAATTTCCATACAAACTTGCATGCAAACCACTCGAAGCTCCCTTATATGGAAGAAAGCACAGATCTGAACCAAAAAATAATTTAAAAAACATTAAATTCAGCTCTGTATGGCTTGTGTTAATGTTAGCGGATGTGGACTTAACACCCGGCCACCATCAACCATTTTGTAGCTGCATGCCATTCTCACAAGTAGTGTGAACATCTCCATAGAAAATGACTATCCTTTCAGTACATTTTAAGATCTTTGACTGTACTTAATAGAAATTAGTGGTTCACTTACATCTTTGTCTATTTACTTCGTACATGGATATGTTCATTTTGGTTATGTATGCTCATTAAGCTAACAATTTTTAAAAATTAAATCTTAAGTTAAAAAAATATCCTTGACATTATCAGTATGGGTATTCTTCCAGTAATGCAGATTGCAAAAACTAATGTTTTAGCTAGTGGCTTCTCAAGTTGCTGTGGTCAAAATAATTCACCATTTCCTAGCCAATACTCTGTTGGTGAGGCTCAATAAACTTAGCTAGAACAGTCCTTAGACAACAGATACAAGCTGTTGCTGGGCCCACACTTGAAACCTTTCCAGCTTTATAAAACCAGTCAGACCTGAGTTTTTCTGGCATAACCTTTAGGAATACAAAGTTGCTTCCACACTATAATGAGGCATCAAAGGACTCTATGGAGGAAACCAATTGACATCACTAGAGAAACAACTCTGAGCATACATTAGGAGTTCATCATATTTGGCAGCTAGCACGGAAGTTATTACCTTATATTAGTTTTGTATGTATCTGTGATTATTTATTTGTGCATATGTTGTCTCTCCCATTAGAATGATGGTTTCTTGAGGGCAAAGACTAACTTTTCTCTTTGTATCCTAGCACTTGGCACAATGCCTGGCAACATAGTATTTAAGAAATGTCTGTTGATTGATTGAGATAGTTTTATGGCTGTTGAAAAGAATAAATACAATATGTCCCTTCCTTCCTGCTCAGTCACTTACTGTATGTGTAACGTGGGACAAGTCACTTCACTTTCTCATCTGTAAAATAATGAGGTTGGCCTTGTATCCTGAAGTTCATTCCAACCTTATATCTATGATCCTATGATCTATAATTAAAAAACCTTTCCTTTTTCCTGTTTTCTAGAAACGTGTATAAAAACACAGACTTATTTGTTGTTCAGTCATTGTTCAGTTATATCTGACTCTTCATGATGCCATTTGGAGTTTTCTTGGCAAAGATTCTGGAGTGGTTTGCCATTTTCTTCTCCAGCTGATTTTACAGATGAGAAAACTGAGGCAAGCAGGATTAAATGACTTGCCCAGTGTCACACAGCCAGCAAGTGTCTGAGGCTGGATTTGAATTCATGAAGATGAGTCTTCCTGACTCCAGGCCTGTTGCTCTATCAACTGGGCAACCTAGCTGCCCTTAGAGTTATGTATCTATACACATAGTGAAGATTGTTCTTTTCATTTATTTTAAAATGTCTTGTCCAAAGAAAATTTGGTGTTGGTACATCACAACTACTAGTCGGTGTCTTCAAATTCACTGCAGGTTACCTAATTAAGAATAACTTATTTAAAAGAGATCATGTTGTATAGTGGAAAGAGGGCAAAACTGGACCTTGGAAGATCTGAATTCTGGTTTCACATCTGCCATTTAACAGCTTTGTGATATTGGAAAGTCACTCCTGTAGCAGCTACCTCACCTGTAAAGTGGAGGAGGTGGATAATGGCATGCTTAAAATCCCTCCTAGCTCCAAAATTCTATGGCTGTCATAGAATTTAGAACTGGAAGAAACCCGCTAACCAAAGCCTCTCCTTTTATACATAAGGAAACTGAAGGCCACAAAGGGAAAATGACTTACCCAAGGTGACAGGAATATCAAGTGGCAGATCTAGGTATTTATCCTAATGAAAGACATTATAAGTGAGAAGAAAATCAGCCTCGATGGAAATATTAGCAGTAACTTCAATGAGTACTGTTTGAAGTTCATTCTTGCCAATTCCTGACAATGAGAGATCAAGTCTAGAACTTTTTTACTTTTGTAAATGACAGAAGCACTGCAGTTCAATAGACCATATGATCACCTGGAAGGTTTGTATCTGAATTCACATAGGAGGAAATATATTACTGCTAATAGTATCTTACATTTTTGTAGGGCTTTAAACTTTTTTCAAAGCATGTTCATATAATACGAAGTAGGTAAAATATACTGTTCCCATTTC